TTGAGTCCTCCCCCTAGTTCTCCCTCCCCCTCCTGGTGAGGGGGGCTAACCATAACACTTCCATCTTTACAAGAGTATTATTATACTGCCCAGTTGAGGCCACTGGTGTGCCTGTGCTCTCCAGTCTATGCAGCAGGGTGGAAAGATGTTGAGGGAACAACAATTAAAGGAATACCAATTAAGGCTTTAGTAGCCGACACAAAATTGCAGACAGAAATCAATATACCAAACGAGCACATATCTTATACGATGTTAACAGTGTGGCATGAAACAATTAAAATGTGTCATTTGGAAGACTCATCCAAAATTTTGCGATGGTGTGCATATGACTCAGAGTTCATCCCAAACAAATATGACGACAGGTTTAAGAACTGGATTTCAAAAGGATTAACCAACTATAATTCATTTGTCCAAAAGGGGACACTGCGAACCTTTGACACCCTGAAACATAAATATGGCTTGAGCTCCGAGGACTTCTTCAGATACCTACAGGTTAGACACTATTTTAATAAGAACATCAAAGTGCCCTTAGCCGACCAGGGATTCCTTCAAACATTTATTTCACTAACAAAATCATTGTCACCCACAAAAATTATTTCTAAATTGTACAACAGCATTCAGCAGAGTAAGAGGAGGAACACATATTACATAAAAGAGAAGTGGGAAAAAGAAGGAGGGTTAACTATCACAAAGGACAATTGGGAACACATATGTCAGATGCAATGGGCTTCAACAGAATCGAACATTTGGCATGAATTTTGTTGGAAAAATATCAGATTTTTCATTACCCCTGCTCAAAAAAGATATCAAGGAACTGGATGGAGATGCTTGTTGGAGATGTGGCCAAAAAGGGGCAAATCACTTGCATATCTTTTGGAATTGTAAAGTTGTTCACAAATACTGGTCTGAGATCCATGAACCCAGGCCCAGACAATGTGACCCCTCCTTCCTAAAAGCTGATCAGCTGCCCCCCCATCTTCAACAGATCACTAGAGCTGTGTCAAGTCTCCTTCTGCTTCAAACGCTCCATCATCATCATCCCCCCTCCCAGGAAACCTTCCATCAGTGGACTGAATGACTACAGACCTGTAGCCCTCACATCTGTAGTTATGAAGTCCTTTGAGAGACTGGTGATGGCCCATCTCAAGGTCATCATAGACCCTGTGCTGGACCCCCTGCATGTTGCCTACCTGGCAAACAGGTCAGTGGGCCACGGACTCTCTTTGTACTGCAGCTCAGCGTTCAACACCATCATCCCAGGCATCCTCCACTCTTAACTGACCCAGCTCACTGTGCCTGCCCCTACCTGTCAGGGGATCACCAGCTTTCTGACAGACAGGAAGCAGCAGGTGAGGCTGGGGAAAACCACATTCAGCACACGGACTGTCAGCACAGGTTCCTCGCAGGGAAGTGTGCTCTCCCTGCTGCTGTTTTCCCTCTACACAAGTGACTGCACCTCAGAGGACACCTTCTGTTAAACTCCTGAAGTTCGGAGATGACACCGCGGTCATTGATCTAATCCAAGATGGTGATGAGGCAGCCCACAGATGGGAGGTTGAACAGCTGGTCCTGTTGTGTGGTCACAACAACCTGGAGATGACAGTGGACTTTAGGAAGAGCCCAGGAAGTTCAACTTGCCCCAAGAGTTGCTGATACATTTCTACAGAGGAATCGTGGAATCTGTTCTCTGCTCATCCATCTCTGGCTGGTTTGGCTCAGCAACCAAAAGAGTAGACTTCAGCGGACAGTCAGGACTGCAGAAAAGGTCATTGGTGCCAGCCTGCCCTCCATGGAGGACCTGTACACCTCACAGGTCAAAAGAAGGGCAGGGAAGATTTCTGCAGACCCCTCACATCCAGGACACAAACATTTTCTCTTCTTCTTGGCTGTGGCTGGGATTAGCTGATGCTAAAAGTTTACTGGGTGTGTGTTGCATGGAGCATTTTTTTTGTTTTTTGGGGTTTTTTTTTTTTTACACACTTTGGCTGGACAGATCATAGCCATGTAAATGCATGTCTATGAGACAGATTGATTTGATTTGATTTATTCTTTCAAGCATATAAAACAGTTGATATAACAACACACAATCCAATATCAATTTGCTTATACCTAGTATATGTCTTCTGAATATACACCCTACTACGTGTGTGCTTTAGTCCATATCCTGTTTGTTCACAATCAGAGTAGGCTGTCAATATTTTTGACAGCACTAGCTTGGACTGAGGCCAATACATGAACATATAGGTTACATGCATACACTTATAGCTACAGTATAGGGTTGGATCCCTTAAGGTTAAGGCCATCAGCTCTAAAAATCAAAATAGGCTAACTTAACAGGCAGTAGCCTATCCGGTTTAGAACCAAGAGTGACCACACCTGAGCATATATTGTGAAAAGGATGAATAAGTAGGCTATTTCTCTATCTCCGATACGGATAGTGTGCCATTCACAATGTGCGCTCTGGTGCAGAGAATTTTCACCCATGAGTGCTTTTGTGTTTTTTCCAACAACACATTAATAACATGGACTGCTCACAGAATAACTGGTGTCAACTACAGACCCGTTCTTCAAAAGACAAGTAGCAGAACAAAACTCATCCAGTCCATTCCTGGTTGAGACAAACATCAGATGCAACAACTGGCAGCAGAAACAGACATTTAATATAAGTGATGCTGTATTTTAAGCAGACTGTTTTACCTGTGTACCACGGTTTCCGGAAGAAATTTTTCTTATAGGTCAGGTGTCCAGAAAGAATAGACTTTACCAGACAAATGTAAAACTTACTGGTGTTGTGTCAGTAATAACTTGGGTACACAAATATATGGATATATAACTCAAATACTGCTTCCACAATTACATAGCTTATATTTGGACATGTTCACTGTTTTTATCTTGCTGGAAATGTGACTGCTGTTTTGAGGTGAATTTGTAGCAATATAACATGCCCTTGTAACATTCTGTACCATACTGATCGGTGGGTAGAGCGGTTGTTGCCCAAGCAGAACGTTGGAGGTTCTAATCATGGTGCAAGTTGCCACTGCAACACAGCGTGTAACATACTTGCCCAAATAAAATGATTATCCTTATCCTGTCACCTTTGACAGATAAGCAGTTGTGACAACATGAATAAAAGAACCTCTACAAAAGGTAGAGAAATGAACTGTGTGTTAATTGTCCAAATGCATCACAGGTTCAACTTAAAAGCACACAAGCCTGCTCATACAGTTAATCTAGCACAAAAAACTTGTGTTGTTTGCCGATCTGCTAGGCTATAGTAATATTAATGTAAAAACATACAACTACAGCGCAAACAATCAGCTTCACTCCTTTCATGTTTATTCCTGCAACTTCAGGGTCAAACCATCCAAAGCATCTTAAATCCACAGCTCTGACCAGATTGCTTGAGCTAATGGCTAAACCTGCACTCTGAACGAACAGGCAGCTTTTTCCATTTCATTTGATTCATTCATGACCATGAGTACATGGTATGGAGTTCAAACCTAACA